TGCAACTCCTGCCCGGGCACGAGAAATACTGTTGAGGCTACACTTCAGGAACTTGCAAGTGGGGGAGCGGCTTTTCTTTCTGAAAGACGTGGTATGTCCACACTGCAAAGCAGAGGAGACACCGGAGCACTGCCTGCTCGGCTGCCCGACGATTCAAAGGGTGGTGAGGTTTTTGCGAAATGGGCTGGCTGCAATGAATCCGCAGCGGAACTGGCAAGGGTTGAAGGACCTCCTCTTCATGCAAAGAAGCACGAAGTCTGGTTTTCCGGAAAGCTCCTTCGTTGCCACCACACTACACCAGGTGTGGCTGGCAAGATGCGATGCAAGCCGCCGTGACATCAAGTTCCAGCCGAAGAAGGTGATACGCATGGCAGTGGTCAAATTTGTCGCGCACGCCAGAGTGTACTGCCTGGCAAAGCAAGTGGCAGCGAGGAAACACGGCATGGCAGTCGGTGATGATGACTGGGGGCACCTGGCAGCAGATGAGGCGGCAGTGATGAGGCGGATATGTGACAAGGGGGCACTGTTGACGTGGAAGGGCAGCTTCAGCTCTACATGGAACAACCCGAGAATGACGCTCCATCCACCATAGGCTCGTTATAGGGAATCCGCGGTACCTGATACTGTGGCGCTTCCCTCCTGATACAGTTATGACTGTCTGATGCTCCTACATGCTTCTTTTTAGTGTACTTTTTCACATCTAAAAAAAAAGATGTTAAAATGTAAATTTCTCTCATAATGCCTCTCGCTCATGCCATATCTATGCCTCGCTTCGAGTTTGTATTGTGCCATCTGCTTCACTCTAATTTTTTAAGAATGTCTTTCATTGGCACAGGCAGATTGAGTTGAAGCCCATTCTTTCCACTTATGCCACTCCAAGTAGTAGCAAGCACTACTTTACAAACAAGAAGGGTACAACCAACCCCTCCCATCCTCACACCTTACTCTACTCTGCAGCCAATAACACACGCAGGGGAAACTAGCCCATGGTCTCAACTCCTACAAAGCATAGTAGAGGTTCTCTTGTTGTCCGCTCACTGTCAGAGTGAAGGTTGCAGCCAGGTTATCACCCGACATGGTAGCTCCCACTAGCGCAGCCATAAACTTCTGCAGTCCCAAGACCCCAGACGTGGTAACACTTTCTGAGGGGATTTTCACGTCGACGGTTTTGGAGCAAGTGAACACGCCCTTGATTGCCGATGTGAACGGGCATGCGAGTGCCAGCGGAGCAGACTTGTCGGCGCCGACCTGACCCATCAGGGAGACCTTTGAGTTGGTGTTCACGCCCTTGGTGAAGGCCAGGTGGATTTCCAGAGTGACCTTGGTGTCGCTGCATGCGGGAGGGGCAGAGAGGGGAGGCAGCTGAGGATACAACAGGTAGAGCAGATGAGGGGGAGAGCTAAAAGTGTGCTGGCGTCAACATCCTTGGTGAAACACCAGGTGCACCTCCTGGCTGACTTTGGCGTTGCTGCATGTCAGGGAACCGTACACGAGGGAGAAGGGAGAAAGTACCGCAAGAGATCCGACACAATTGGGTTTTTTTCTGTTATTTTTAGTTCCTTTTTCTTTTTGCTTGTACTTAAGCTGCCCCTCTGACCTCCTCACCCACCCTTTCAAACCCACCTCCCCCCACCTACCCCCTCGCGGACTCATCCCCCGGCTTGTGCTCTCGCTGTTACTACCACTCTTTTCGACAATCCCATCGTCTATGTTCTCGAGTGAAAGACTCACGTGCTGGTGGCGATGCGGATCACGGCTCCTCCTGCCACGGCGCCAGAGAAGTTACCGTAAGTAAGCTTCCCCTCTGATTTCAAACCCCTCAAATGCAGGCTCCCCCCACCTACCCTCTCGCGAACTCATCTCTCGGCGTGGGCACCATTCTCATCTACATTCCCTTCGTCTTTGTTCTCGAGTGAAAGACTCACCTGCTGGTGGCGATGCGGATCTCGGCTCCTCCTGCCACGGCGCCCGAGAACATGGCTTGGAATCGGCCGCGTGACATGGATGGCAGCACTGCGCGGGCTGTTACATGATGGGATGGGTGCAATGAGAAGGGGGACGCGTGGAGAGATGCAAGGGAGGCGAGCATTAGTGGCTGTGCAACAGGAGGGATGCAACGCACTGAGGCCGACTCGTGGCAGAGAATAACGCGTGTTGTCAGATTCGTGGCAAAGACTAGAGTGTGTCTTCAGATTCATAAAAGAAAGCATCCGTACTAGTATCAACAGCACCAGTCGTAGCAAGGGATCCCAATGCCACCATCGAGTCCATCGCGAAAAAGAACTTGCCAGAAAGCTGCGGGAAAGTTGCAAAAAGGATACTTTTTGGATACCTTGGTTTTGCAACTTTCCAGTGATGGTCAAATGTTGCAGAAATCGTGGTTGCGGGAAAGTTGCGAAAAAGTTGCATTCCTGCAACTTTCCCGCAACACAACCGCAACTTATCGGACAATCTTTGGACACGTTGCGTATACATTTCAGTCACATGTATGCAGTTTCACCACCTGCCACGTGGCATGCGTACAGTTTCGACTTCGAAGTGTACGTACGCTAGAACGTTCGCGAAGATATTTTGCCACGTAAGCAAAGATATTTCTGCCAAGTGTCATTCTCAATTTGTGAACGGCAGCTTGCCACGTGGACCAATCGGACAAGACTTCGCGTGTGCGGAAATTGAATTCTACTGGCCGACAATTTGTCTGAACAGTACAAGCGGACCATTCGTTTCAGGGGTCATTTGTTACAGGTGGGGTTGGAGGTATGGAGCCTGTATGCAATTTACAATATTATGGACGTCTGCATACATATGATGTATACACATTGCGCTAGCTATACGGAACAACGAACACCTAAAACCAACAACTAGTACATAGCGTCAGGTCCTACAGGCAGTCACACAGGGCGAAATCATGCTTCGTTTTAAATCCTGCAAACACGAAGACGACATAATGTTAGACTTTGGTTAGTGATATGCTTGTTCCCCACCTTAGTGACATATCACCCAGGGGCTTGCCGTGCGCTGATAAAATTGCCGTGAATGTGCTTGATAGCTACTGGATCTTGATACCCCCCTCCATATGAAAATTAACATGTCGTTACTTCCATTAACCCTGCACATGAATATTAACCCTGAAACACGACGACTAAGAACAACAGACATAAAACCGTTATCGTTAAAGGCTACATTCCAGACATCATGGGATAAGAACGCGCATGGTAAAAGGCTCAAGCAGAGGCAGAGAGAGACCTTCGTGCGACTACCACACCTTCGCTCTCATGCAGAGAGCGTAGCGACGATTTGTGCATTGGGAGGCTGCACGGGAAACCAACAACGTAACTGGTTTAGGTGGCTCATGCGGGCAATTCGAAATGGGAGAAAATGGATCTGCATACATCTCGGAAAGAAATGAACAAAATCGAGAAGAGAAGAAGCATAAACCGTGAAAATAGATGAAAGAGAAGATAAGAACAGGAGTGATGGGCGTTACATGATTCTGTATGCTTTCGATTTTCAGTATGCGGGATGTGTAGGTCAATGTGTTTAGCACACTCACCGGCGCTTTCCGCGCAGAACACGGCACTTCCGCTGCCGGGCAACGGGCTTTTCGTCGCTGCATCCGTAGATAGACGGACGCTGAGTCCGATGCGATTCGCGCGCAGAACGTCCTCCGCGTGAAGAGAGCAAGGTGAAGAGCTGTAAATGGGACGGGACGTAGAAAAGGAGGGGACAGATGCAGGATGAGACGGTAGATGTGGTCAGATGTTAAAGGATTGATACTTCATTTACTAGTGTACTAGATACACGGACGTAAGACGTACGTTCTACGGTATACGCTTGCTGAGGGGACGGCAGAGGCACGAGCTAGGTTGAAATGGAACGATAACCTCAGAAAGTTGTGTGAACAATGAGATGGGCAACTAGCGGTGTAGGGAGAGATACACGCTTAGTGTGAGAGATGCTTCTAGAGCTCCAAAGTGTGATGATGTGTCGTCACGGATGCCGTAGATTTCTGGTGTAGGTTAGATCAGACCAGTAATTGGTCAGTAAAAAATCACGAGGTTGTTTTAGCTCAATCCCGGTTACCTGAGCTGTGGTCCGGGGAAGCCACGTCACGTACCCAGAATCTGAACACTTAATTTGATTGGTTATGACATGGAACTGTATGCCAGCTGCCAGTTTAGATTCTGGGTTGTGCCTTGGCGAGCCTCGTTATATTTTGTATCCCAGTTACTGTGCTCGCAACGTTCGACTATGCCTACCTGATTCGTCCTGCAGTGTTCATCAGTCGTACACCAGCAGGGGGGACTCCCGAGGTTTGGTCGTGACCAGGTGTACTGTTCGGTGAAGATGTTTCGAAAATGATGCAATAAATTCGCGGCTCGGGCAACCCACGTATCCAACATTCGCGCCTCGGGTAACCCACGTATCCAAAATGCGCGGCTCGTTAGCCAGGTTGTATCCGAAATTGGTGCATGTTGCATTTTTCACTCAGTGCTTTTCGGATACTTTTCTGGTACGTTTCTGCAACTTTCCTGCAGCCTTCAGACTTAAACTCGAATTTGAGCAAAAACCTTTTCCGCGATGTCGCCGTTCACTCCCGCGTGTGTCGCCTTGGCCCTTACGCCTTTCAAGTTGCTTTCTAGAGCAACCGTGGACCAGAGGAGACTCTGGGTCAAATCCCACACTCCCGGCGCGACCAGCTTCCACTGACTGGCGTCGGATACAAGAGACTTGCCACCGAGTGAGACGTCCGTTGGCGGGTCGGCGCTTCCCGCCATGATCACGCGGAGAACAACCGGGAATGTACTCGTGCTGCGGTGATTGGGGCGAGAGGGATCGGGGAGGAGGGGCAGGAGGAGAATAGAGGAGTTGCGTCAGTTGCGTGAATTGGGAGAATGCGACACGCTCTAGAACGGGGAAGTTTGAGAAACTTCGTGGAACGGAGGAATTCAAGAAAGGCAACACATCATGATGCTGACGGCACTGGAAGCCGGACTTACTCGGCTGGCATTCGCACGATCACTGTCCCCTGCGATTCGAGTGACGTCACCGGAACACTGTAGAAGGCTGCAAACGATCGGTGTGGGAGCGAGAGAACGAGTGGGTTAGGCGCTGAGCTCTGATGATTGTAGCGCGACGTGAGGTGAACGTAGGATAGAAGTTTAAGGGGATTGGGATTCAGCAAGCAATAACTCATGGTTTCGATGCAATTGAATGGGTGTTGCGGTGAGTGAATATTCGTGAAATCAAGCAAAACTAGTATCAAGTCTACAATCGTTTACACCTTGTAATCGCCGTACTTGAAAATGGCTTAGAGCGTTGATGCGTATGGCCTTACTTGGCTGCGGGGGATTTGCCGGGAAGAATTTCTTCATATCCGTGGCCTTGACCTCAAACGCCGCTGAAGTCATGGCTACAGGCGCCGCGCAGAAGAGAACCACGAGGCCTGCGCAAACCATGGAGATTAAAGGGCCACACGTGTCATTGCGGTAACTGTGTTATCGGAGCCGCATGATACCGACAGTTACGAGTGCTTATGTAAGGAAATGACTAACGCAAGTCGAATGGGCTGTCGAGGTCTGCGCCTCGGGATTCGTACATGGAAGACACATGAGGCTGGAAACGAGCCATTGCGAAAGACCGAGGCGGGCCATAACGATGCGCTTCAAAGTCAAATGTCGCGAGGTGGCGGTGAAGGTCGCAGGAAGTAGAAAACTGGTATGGAACGAGATTGAGCAAAAGGGCAGGGGGAGTCGCTTGCTGGTGGAGAGGTGGAATCTGAAGTGTGAAGTGATTACTCTGAAAATACGATGGGAGTTATGTAATCTCGTCAGGGTACGGAGGTGGTGGTGATTTAGGGCGGGTCCAGCGCGTACGTTTTCGGTTGCACTACAGTTCATTCTGTGCGGTTAATCTTATTGCCTCGAGGTGCAAAACGGTGAAGATTTAAAACCGCTGTGCACCAGTTTCTATCGTCTCGAACATCGACGGATGAACTGTGAAGTACCTGTGGATGTAATAAGAGTGCGCGCTCTTTGAAAATTTCGACGTGCTTGGGTGGCGGAGATGTAGTGGATGTAATAACAGTTCTGGCTCGAATGTGGTCACGGAAGTCACAATATTCGGACTTTCGAATTATTGTCAGCTCTGCCATGCCATCGTTGGTCAGCAATGATGCACTTTCCGTTAGTTTTGCGTGGCAGAAATGTGAGACTGCGAAACTGTCATCCTGCGTTACCACCTGTGGTATTCCAATTGCGAACCTCTCCTTCAGAGTTCGCAGATATGTTCATGCTCCACCAAGCTCACGAGTTTTCGTTTCGCCAAGCCGGCGAGAAGCACACACGAAACGAACATCTCCAACCCCCAACCATTACACGACCAACAAGCTGTTGACGGAGCCTGACGTGACGACTCTGTTAGGTGAGGATCAGACTTATTGGTGGCCGATTTCCGTCGGGATTATTGTTCTTATTCCGTCGGGATTATTGTTCTTATTGACTGCATTGTTCTTCCCCTCCTCTCCTCAACTTACTAACACCCAGTTGAACGGCTTCAGTTCCCAGCGTATAGAGCCTAGCCGATTTCCTATCAACTAGGTTCCATTGGAGCAGCTGAATCGCGAACGTCGCCTATCGATTGGTTTGAAGCGCGAGCTGCTTCCTTCCTTGAATCACGGAACGCACGATGCCTCTACTATTTCTCATTTTTAATGGAACAGGAGAGGTGCATTATTGTTGGACCCCTGGCCGAATGACTGACGTGCTTAGTCAGCCGAGTTACGCACATTGCATTATTATGCAACCACAGCCCGGGCTCCGCGCTTACCTCACACAGAGAAGCTCAGCGCGGCGCGTTCGCTTCCACCCTTCGACTGAAGCCTCCTCAGATCGTTTATTATCACCACCAGAGCCACATCACTTCCCCACCACCAGCCTTTTTCTTCCCTAATCATCACCATACCAAGAACTCCTCCTTCTCTTGAGACCGCAAACCCTTTTGGAACCGCGAGTTTCTTTCACATCAGTGAAATCGCTGTTTAGGGTTTCCCAGCGACAACTTCAGACCGCGATGGCTCTCCCCCGTGCTCTCACGTGCCTCCTCATCATCGCCAGTACGATTCGTCAACCCATGCCTACTTTCTGAACCGTTCGACTGATATACTCTCTTCGCTCATATCATCTCTCTTCCCGACTCTATGCTCTAACTACTCCGTCCGTCTTCCTGGTATGATCGTTCCATTAACCTCACTTGTTCTTGTGAGCGGCTGCAGGCGTGCTGGCCTCGTCGACGCTTCCCGGAGCAGACGCGATAAGCGAGGCGGACAAGCAGCGCGCCGTGAAAGCGGGCCTCGCGTTCGTCAAGGCCGTCCTCGCCATGCTCTTCCCGCCGCCCACGCCTGCCGCCAGTCAGTGCTTCCCTCAGCCTCCTCTATGCGCCTATCTTGGAGCTTCGCTCTGCATCCTGCTCTCTCAACGTGAAATCTCCTCGCTGGAAAGGCCCGGATCTGACACATCGTAGTCTGTGTCGTTTTGAGATCTTTGTCGAGACTTCTGTGACGCATCGTAATCTGCGTCGGGAAATTTCTCTTCCTCATCCCACCGTCCCTCATCATCCTCTCACCTCCTCTGTTTCTCCTTGTCGCGTCGATCCCCACGAATGCAGAGTTTTACAGCGCGGGCTTTTCGGATACCAACGTGGCAGGGACGTTCAGCATTGCTGTCCCCTCCAAGTAAGAAACTCGCAGTCTAAATTGGCAGTCGAAATTCAGAGCTGGAGTTTTTGTGGTTCGATTTGGGGTTGGGGTTTTCGTGGTAGTAGCATAGCACACGGCTTGTCGCAGGCAGCAATGTGTGCGCGACCGCTGAGCCTCCGTGCGAAGGCTGCGCCTACCATTCCCTCACCCGAACCACTTGCCGTGTGTCGTGCGCTGCGCTCTAAACTCTAAATTCAATTCCACATGGTTCATTTGTTCCTGCAACTCCTTCCCAACCCTTGACAGATCCTTGACCAAGCCCACGCAGTTCCGCCTGACCACCGCAGGCTTGTCCAATCCGCCGATGGAAGTGACTCTGAACGCGAGAACTCCCGTCGTGCTGGGCGCGCTCGGAAAGAACATGCAGTGCTCGCAAGTCGCGCCGAGCGTGTGGGACTGCTTCGGCCAGACCAAAATGACCCAGGCCGATATTAACAACATCGGATTCACAGCTGGCATGGGGGTTCGCGTTGACTCGTATGACTTGAGTCTCACCTATCCCGATGCGCGCAACCAGGCACTCGATGCCACCTCGAAGCTCGCAAAGGCGCCATCGACTTTGAAAATGGCGCAAGTCTTTGGTACGTTGCTTGGACCCGGCTGGTTACACCCACTGGTTACCCTGTTTGAGAATCTGTGTTCTTCTCACTGTAGAGAGGACAGGTCCTCTGCTTCTGACTGATGGACCCCATATTGCCCGGTTCAGCTCTTTGCTCGTGTGATAGTAGGTTCGCTGCTCACAACACAAGTGACTAACGAACCCTTCTATACTTCATTTTGGTGCAGGTAACAACGATTTGCTGCTAGGGGTTCCTGCCGGAAGGTTCCAGGCAATGATCACCGGGGACGACATCAAAGGAGGCGCAATGTTTGCCGTCTCCAATGTGTAAGTCCCTGCTATAACTGCACTGCTTGTTTTTTACTGCTAGTAAAGAGAAATAAACGTACTGTTCTATAGTGTTCTATAAAGTCTTTTGTATCGACCATACCAGGTACATTAATGGGCCTCAACTTAGGTCCTCACATCCAAATCTTTCTTCTAAAGCACTAGTCCCACTTTCAGTAAAAGGCTTCAATACCCATTCTTTACGGTTTCACCATCTACCCATCACAAGGAGTTCAACCCCACTGTCCCCCTTCTCGCTCCCTCCTCCCTCCTCCCCCCTTATCCCACCTTCCCCCTCCTCCCACCAAACCCCTCCCCCCTCCTCCCACCAAATCCCTCCCCCCTCCTCCCACCAAACCCCTCCCCCCTCCTCCCACCAAACCAGGAACCGCAAGTGCACCATCGGCTACAGCATCGTGCTCATCTCCTCACAAGCCCTCACGCCAGAAGCAACGCTCTCCGTCGTCGATTCCACCACCCAAGAATCAATCATTATTCCTATTAGCTGCAAGTGGGCCCAGCCCAGGCCCGGTGTGAACGTGTGCGAGGCCAAGGGCGATTTCCCCACCACCATCGACACCACCTTCTCAACGACCCCACTTACCCCTGCGGCCGCGGCTCGGAGTGCGGCTGCCAGCATGAGCGCAGCAGCCCTGCCAGGGTCGGCGGTGGACCTGGAGTTCAAGGTGACGGTGGCCTCGGGCATGCTGCCAGAGTCCGATGGCGCGCTACGCTACTCACTGTGAGAGGCCATGCCTCACTGGTTGACTTTTGAGTTGACTCATCAAAGGTCAACCAGGGTCGGCGGTGGACCTGGTGTTCAAGGTGACGGTGGCATGCTGCCAGAGTCTGACGGCGCGCTGCGCTACTCGTTGTGACGGTGGCGTCGGGCATGCTGCATAATGGCTTTACTGACTCGACTTCTCAGGGGAATCACTAGGCTCCTCTCGAGAAGCTGCTCACCGGGTGGAGAGTATACTCTCTGTTAACACTGCACAAAGCTGCGTCAGTGGCAGTGAATTATTGTAGGGCGCTTACTGCGCCCTCCAATCCGGAAGAGGCCTGCACTGCCATGGCCATAGTTCCCCTGATTTTCTGCTCTTTTACTCTCTCTCTCTCTCTCTCTCTCTCTCTCTCTCTCTCTCTCTCTCTCTCTCTCTCTCTCTCTCTCTCTCTCTCTCTCTTTCCCTCATTCCTGCTTCCGTTTCTCTTCGTCTCGCCCTCCCTCTTGAACGCCCCAACTTACTGCTTCTGTGCTTCTCCATTGTTGCTATCAAAGGATTGTGGTATCAGTGTAGGCTAGATCTCTGCTACCTACACATGCCTTCGACTTGTTGTAAACAGCCCTTAAGTTTCTATTGCCTGCTTGATTTACATATTACGGTATTGTCAGTGTTGCTACTAGTGATGGCAAGGCAGTGCTGTCAGCCAGCCTTGTGTCAAACCATATCTGTGCTAGTTGTGTGTTGGCTATAGTGGGGTAGCCCATATGGGGTACAACCCAATATTAGGGTTAGTACTTGTACCCACAATCCATTCAGTGCAACCATTCCTGCTTGCTACCGTATCTTGACATGGTTTCAAAGTAATAGGTCCGTAGGACCGTTTTTTCCGGGCCCACCATACTTAGCGACCGACTGTGGTTATCACGTTACCCCACTATCCTGCATCGCGCTGCCCCGCACACGCCCTGCCCTGCCCCGCGTCGCGCTGCTCTGCGCACGCCTTGCCTTACCCGCATCGCGCTGCCTTGTGCACGCCCTCCCCTGCCCTGCCTCGTGTCACCCTGCGCCAGCACCCTGCCCTGCGCCAGCGCCCTGCTCTGCGCCTGCGCCCTGCCCTACGCTCGCGCTGCTGCCCTGCGCGTCGCACCCTACGGCAGCCCGCGAATCGCGCGCTGCTGCCCCGCGCGTCGCGCTCTGCTGCAGCCTGCGCATCGCGCCCTGCTGCCCTGCGCGTCGTGCCCTGTTGCAGCACGCGCATCGCGCCCTGCTGCAGCACGGGCGTCGCGCCTTGCAGCCCTGCACAGCGCGCAGCCTGCTGCCCTGCACAGCGCGCGCCCTGCTGCCCGCGCCGTCCAGGCCGAGCCGAGCCGCCCTACCCGACCCGATCCGCCCTGCTGCTCTTGCTACTGCTGGTGCTGGTGGAGGTGCTGCTAGGAGTGCTGGAGGTGATGCAGCCTAGCTACACTGAGCCGTTCTGCTGCTCTTACTGCTGTTGCTACTCCTCGTGCTACCGCCTTCACTCCGTACTGCCCTAGAGGTCGCGCTCCTCCTAGCTTGCCCGCCATGACTTCACTCTGTAGTAGCGGTGGGAGTGGTGACGGCGGTGGTGGCAGCAGTGGGAGTGGTCGCGTCTGTAATAGCAGTCACTGTGGCGCTGTTTGGTGCGGAGTTTCTGGCGGTGGCCAGACGCAGCTACGGCGGCGTCCGACCCTTGCGTCCCAGCAGCTTCGTGAGTGGTTTTACCAGCGTGGGACGTCTCCGAGTCCTGGTCGCTGCCCGTACATCATTCGCACATGTCGTCGAGCTGGTCAGACCTGTGGGACACTTGGTCACGCGCAGTCCCGCTGCTTCGCCTATTTGAGTGACGCCTGGCACGCAGAGTTTGGCGACGAGGCTGAGATCCCCCACTGGCTTGAGCTGCTTATGTCGGGCGTTGATGCCTTTGCTTTAGACTACGACGCCATCCTTACTGCTATGTATGCTTTGCCTGGTGGTGCTGAAGGTGACTGTTACCTGTGTGTGCAGTACGACCCCGGTATAGAGGTTGCTGCTCTAGGTGCTAGTGAGGCTGCTGCCTTAGGTGCTAGCGAGTCTGCTCTCTCAGGAACTGCGCCTGCTGAGGCCTTGCACACCTTCACGCTTGACTCAGGTGCTTCTCGCTGTTTCTTTCACGACAGTACCGCACTCACGCCACTCCCTGCACCTGTTGCAGTGTCTCTGGCTGAACCCTCAGGGGGCCCAGTTCTTGCACGGTCCACCACTGTGCTTCCGTGCCCGGCGGTTCCGTCTGGCTCACTGTCAGGTCTTCACCTCTTCTCGTTCTCTACAAACCTCGTGAGCAACGCAGTCCACTAGGACGCATGGGTTGATACCTTTACCCCTGGAGGACAGCGTGTGGCGATCTGTACGTGCTCCCGAACTGGCCGTCACCTGGCCACGTTCACCCGTCGGCCAGGGTCGAGTCCTTACACACTGACTACTGCGTCCCCTCACGTAGCCTCCCCTTATTCGTGTTGCTCCTTGCCGCACCAGACTCTTCTCTGGCACCACCGCCTGGGTCACCCCTCCTTGCCACGTCTCCGTGGCATGCACAGTCGCCTCCTAGTGTCTGGTCTTCCCAGGTCTCTCCCTCCCCTCCCTGCCTCCCCTGCGTCGCCCTGCCTTCTTTGTGTCAAGGGGCGGAAGCGCGCCGCTCCTCACTCCTCCTCGTTTCCCCCGACAGAGGCTCCTCTGCAGACCCTCCACCTGGATGTGTGGGGCCCAGCCCGCGTCCGTGGACAGGGCGGTGAGCGGTACTTTCTGCTGGTTGTCGACGACTACTCGTTGTACACCACGGTCTTCCCCTTGCGCACCAAGGGTGAGGTCCCTGCTGTCCTAATCCCTTGGATCTGAGCAGTTTGTCTTCAGCTCCGCCAGAGGTTCCGCAAGGACCTTCCTGTCCTGCGTGTGCACTCTGGCAGATGTGGTGAGTTCACCTCCGACCTCTTGCGGGCCTTCTGTCAGGGGGAGGGCATCGAGCAGTCATTCACGCTTCCGGGCTCATCGCAGCAAAATGGGGTTCCTGAGCGCCGCATTGGCTTGGTCATGGAGATCGCGCCTACCTCCTTGATCCATGCGGCGGCTCCCCATTTTCTGTGGCCGTTTGCGGTCCGGTACGCCGCGCAGCAGCTCAACCTCTGGCCCTGTGTCTCCTTGCCGGAGATCTCGCCCACACTGCGTTGGACGGGAGAGGTTGGCGATGCGTCGCATTTCCGAGTCTGGGGTGCTCGTGCTCTTGCCCGCGATACGTCCGCGGACAAGCTCTCCTCCCGCACCATTCCTTGTGTCTTCCTTGGCTTTGTCCCTGACGCGCCTGGCTGGCAGTTTTACCACCCCACCTCGCGCCGTGTCTTCCCCTCTCAGGACGTCACCTTTGACGAGTCGGTTCCTTTCTACCGTCTCTTTCCCTACCGCACTGCCCCCCTCCCTCCCCCCTGCTTTTCCTCGCTCCAGGTCCCCCTCCGGTAGACCCCCTCCCCCCTCAGGGTCCTGCTCCTTCAGCTGTGTCTCAGGTAGACCCACTCCCCTTGGCTGAGCCCGTAGAGGTCACTAGCGATTCAGGTGCTGCCGCGGGTGGTGCTGCTCGAGGTACTGCGTCTGGGGGTGCTGAGCCTGTGCGTGAGGTTCTGGGGGGGTGCGGAGCCTGGGGGTGCTGAGCCTGCGAGTGCGGAGCCTGGGGGTGCTGAGCCTACAAGTGCGGAGCCTGGGGGTGCTGAGCCGGAGGGTGCCGGGTCTGGGGGTGCTGAGTCTGGGGGTCTCTTTTCATGACGGGGGCCTCTCTCACCACAGCAGCTACGAGAGTGGCTTGCGTGGCGTACCCGCCTGAGGAGTCGTGCTGCAGGAGCTGGAGGTCCTGCTGATGGAGGTACTGCAGCTCGAGGTGCTGCGGTTGAAGCTGCTGGAGCTGCTCGTCGTGGAGGCGCTGGGAGTGCTAGTGTTTCTGGTTCTAGAGGTGCTCGTACTGGAGGTATTGGAGCTGCCAGGACGGGTGGTGCTGCTAGAGCTGGAGGTTCTGGTGCTGCTGGTGCTGAGGGTCCTGGAGGTGCTCGTCTTGGAGGTACTCAAGCTGCCGGGGTCCGTGGTACTGGAGGCACTGGAGCTGGAGTCCCGCGCGTTGGAGTTCAAGACCTTGGAGCTGGAGGTGCTGGCCCCGGGGGTACGGAGTCTGTTGGTGCTGAGCCTAGGGGTTCTGAGTCTGTCAGACTTATATGACTTAGCCTATGTTGGCTATAGTGGGGTAGCACATATGGGGTACAACACATTTCTAGGGTTTGTACTTGTACCCAACCTTTCCCTTAGTCAATCATCCCTCGTAATCTTCACATGGTATAGAGCAGGTTCCCTAGTGGGAACGTTCCTAGGGCCCACCACTGAAAATCGAATTTTTTTTTTTCCTGCCCGGAGCGCGCTTCGCTCCTGCCCGAGTCGCGCCGCGCGTGCCTACCCTCCCGTCGCGTCCCCTGCCCTTAGCGGCCCGTCGTGCCCTCTTACGGCCCCGTAGCGGCCCCTCTCACGGCCCCCTCATGGCCCCTCTCACGGCCCTTCGCGGCCCCTTCAGGCCCCTCGCGGCCCCTTCGCGGCCCCGTCGCCGCCCTTCGAGGCCCCTCGCGACCCCTCTCACGGCCCCTCGCGGCCCCTTCGCGGCTCCCTCGCGGCCCCTCCGCCGCCCTTCGCGGCCCCTCTCACGGCCCTTCGCGGCCCCTTACCGCCCCTCGCGGCCCCTTCGCGGCCCCTCGCGGCCCCTTCACGGCCCCGTCGCCGCCCTTCGCGGCCCTGTCGCCGCCCTTCACGGCCCCGTCGCCGCCCTTCGCGGCCCCTCGCGGCCCCTTCTCGGCCCCGTCGCCGCCCTTCGCGGCCCCTCACGGCCCCGTCTCGGCCCCGTTGCCGCCCTTCGCGGCCCCTCACGGCCCCTTCGCGGCCCCTACACCGCCCTTAGCGGCCCCTTCTCGGCTCCTCCGCGGCCCCTTCTCGGCTCCCTCACG